ACCAGTTGGTATCTAATTATATAGTTCAATAAATTTAATTGTTATGCATCTAATTTCTCTATAATATATCATTTTTAAATAATAGTTATGTTGTATTGGTGCCTATTAACTTCAAATTATGTAAGAGAAAAAAGTATTTTTAAAATACATCTACACGGCTACACAAATTTATTGTTTAGAGTTAAAAGTATATCTTAAACACTATAGTAAACTATTATTAAAATATCGAAATGGATTTAGGAAGCTGTGCGGGAACGACGAAGACGTCACTTGTGTTTCGTTCAGCCCGGATTCTAGGTATTTAATGTCCGGTTGTGTGGAAGGGCACTTCCGAATTTGGTCGGTGCATCCGAAAAAGCACATTATATCCGAGGCGAGTACAATCGTTCAAGACAAAGCGCACGAAATTGGAATTACAAGTGCCCATTTCGCATTCAAGAGTAAGTTCATATACATTAGCATAAATAACAATTCGGTACCTATATATATAATATAATCGAGCGTTTCCTGACTGTAGATTGATCAACGTATAGCCTAAACTATGATAGCTATAGAGACTTGATATATTTTCATAGTACCTTTACAGTACTACCATATATAGGAGTACGCTAAAAAGGGATTTTCCAAAATACACATTTTAAAGAGGTGTTCACAAAATGATTTTTAAACTCACAATTTATTAAAATCAAAAAATCGAATATTTTTTTTGTTTGTAAATGGTTGTATTGCAGGTTACAAGTAGTTATAATAATAATAATAATAATAATAATAGAAAATAGTATTTTTTTTTCTGCACATAAATGATTTCCATTGCTCACTCGAGCAGATGAGATAAAAGCATGTATCAAATCGTCGCACTAATCATCTCGACTAAAGAATTTATAATATCTTAGAACCAATGATACATCCAAACATAGAATAATATTATGGTCTTGGAAATTGAAATCGTCACTGTTGGTTCAATGTGTTTTTAATCCTCTACTTCATTTATTTATACCGGCTATACAATATTATAATTTAATTTGCATTATTAATAATCCGCCAATGTCGCAGACCCATCTAGAAAACCGCAATCTATGTTGATGCTAACGGGTGGCAGTGACGCCGTGGTAAAATCCTGGAGGCTACTGGACGACCGAATTGACTTCAAAATGAAGTTTGTCGGCCACGGCAGTGACATCACGTGCGTCAAGTTCCCACGGCACATTACTACGTTCTTGGCGTCTACATCGCTGGACAAGACAGCTCGGATATGGCAAACGGTAAACGATAAATCACAATAATAAAATGGTTAAAATATTTCAACAATATACCTATCGCGAAATACGTATAGGTAGGTAAAGTTTGTACCACACGATTTGTATCAACAATATAATAGATTTTTTCGTCCGAAACAAACAAATAAATAGTTATAATATTAATCTTTCATCCCCTGTATATTTTGGTTTTAATAAACTTGAAAATAGAAATGCAAAATGCGTATAAATTATTATAAATTATTATATGCATAAGCCATTAGTTTACGCGATATAGATAGGTATGTGTAGAGTTGGTTCCGTTTTTGAACAAATCTGTTTTGATGAACTGATGAACCGTTTCCGCCTACGATAAAAAAATGTTTTATCGATTATTGAATAGAGAACTAATGGTCACGTAGTTCTTATTAATAACTGATAATCATCAATTCTAAATCGAAAAATTAATTTCCCGAGCATATTATTGTAAAATATAAAAGTAAATTCTGCCTAAATAATATTATATATTATGGATGTGCAGTATGTAGGTATTCAGTGATGCAAATTTGGGGCTAGGCCCCTTCAAAAATGAACATATTAAAAAATACTCCGAAATATTTTCCTGTCTGTACCTATTACATATTCCTAATTTCTTAGCGCGTATATTTTAAATGTTTTTATTTTATAGAAAACTGGAGATTGTCTGCATGTCATCGATCCCAGAGACGCCATCCTCACTTGTTGCTCATTTTCGTCAAATAATAAAATACTAGCTACAGGTTATTATTACAATTGCTACCTATAATTATCATTTATCATAATTCATAATATACAATTATTGAGTCTATAGATGACAGTAAGATAACTAAATTAATTAATAAATAAATAGCTTTTGTAAGAAAATTGCAATAGAAATTAACACACCATCTAAACTAAGGTGTTTAGCTATACTGTACAATGTACTTATCGTTATAATATTGTTCGGTACACGACGATACTGTCGATACCTATAATGATAATATTAGGTATGTGTGGTGACAGTTAGCAAGCAATACGTAGGTACACTCTCAGTAATTAAAAATTTTATATTTTTATCGTCTCGACAGTGCCACACTATATTTTAAGTGAAAATTAACGAAACACCTGTAGGTGCTAATGAAATTTTGTTCATAGCACAGTATTAGCATATTGTTCTGTGATTTTAGGGTCGCTGGACAAAGCGCTGTTTCTGTGGAATTTACCGTTGGACGACGACGACGCTACGGCAATTAGGAAATCAGTAAGTTATAATTACAGTGCATATAATTCTCAAAATATTAGGTAATCTATCGCCATATAAAGGTAATATATTTATAAATTACTACATTTATATGAAGGTATTGAAGTATTGTAAATCTGTATCTGCTGAAATATTATATGTTACCCTTACCAGTTACCATTTACGAGGGTAGTTTACGTTAGTTTGACCGCCACGGCATGCATTACCATGATGTTTATAACTTTATAAGACGATATTATATTTTTTAGTTTTTGTTTTTGATTGATAGGCGTCATTTGAAACACACGGAGCGCAATTGAACGGCATGGCCGGTAAGTGTGTTACAACTACCATAATATTAGTTATACAATTATCGTGCTGACGTAAGGTTCATTGCCCGGTCCTCCACTCGGCCGTGTGATTGATTTTTTTGAAACGAAAGCATACAGGTGCCCGCATAGATTTGTCTATCGTGGTGGTGTGGGGGGAGGGGAGGGGGCATGTTTGTTAATACATGAAATATAATATTAACTGTTGACTATATTGGATTTGTTATAATGGTGATCTACTGATCTTATTTTTCTTCGTATAATCACTTTGAAATTTAAAAAAACTCTGCGAGGGCGGAAAATGAGTTCATATTTTTGACAAGCTGTGCAAGGTACTCCGACCATTGGTGTGAAACAAAGGGAGACGCGTAAAACGCCCATTTTGAAAATAATTATATACGAAAAAAAATTATACATGCTTTGAAGCCATCTACTTATTTCATGTTTTATACCATAACATTTTGCTTAATGTTTATCATTTAATAGGTGAACCAATCATTTAATGTTCATATACAAAATAATATGTTCTAGAATCTTGTTTCAACCTACCCCCTCTGAAAATAACCCATGGGCTCTCGTGGTACTGTGGCCCGCAAATAATTAAAAGCAATTATTTTTATTTGCAGATGATGACAGACGAGCCCTGGAAGTGGCACTATCGAAGCTATCGTCGTTAACTGATACACCCGACGAGTTCATCTGTCCAATAACGCAGCAGATCTTCAGAGACCCTGTGATATGTTCAGGTATACAATCCGAGGTTAAACCACAGCATAGATTAAATTAGGGTGTTAATAGCTTCTACTCTCGTGAGTAATAAAAAGAGTATAATTACAGTGAATGGGGGGGGGGGTCAAGGGCCTCCCTTAAATACGCCCCTGGAATAGCTGGATATGTAGAGACGTAGGGTTCTACACCGAAGAGATATTTGAAAAACTACCCCCCCCCTTTAGGGCACGGTGTTCAACCGAAGAAGAGCAATGACGGCTAAAAAAAAATTCTCCTCTTTAATTGTTCTACGCGACTGACCGGTGGTTTACCAGTACCCAGTTGGAAGTTGGAATACTTCCGAGGGTTGGTCACGCCTGGTCTACATCTAATAGAAGCTCAAAAGCCAAAAATTAAAATAAATTTTTTTCTCTATAGACGGACATACTTACGATCGACCGGCCTTGGTGTCATGGTTCCGCCGAGGCAAATTCAGTAGCCCATTGACGAACGAACCGCTCCTGTCCAAGTCCATGACGACAAACACCACCATAAAGGAAGCCATCTCAGTGTTTGTCCAAGAAAATCAATGAACGCGAATGACTCTACCGAACCAATAGTCTTTATATTCATCGATACCAACTTTGTGTGTGTTAATAAAATGTCATCACCGTTTATCGGCTATTAAACACGCACATTTTCATTTTTGGAAATAATATAATATTCGTTTGATCCGAAAATTTTTGTGTAGAGATTTGTAATACCTATTATTATTACCATTGTTACTTTACGCACTTTTATTCCTTTTTTAACATTTATTAAAATAAAATTATTTGTCAATATGTCAAAGATTATGTTTATATATTATGATATGTTTTATATAAGCTTGTCAGTACTCAGTTATGTTGTCAAACAATGCTAAACAATAACTCTCTACAATTATTGGAGTTTAGAATTCATTGTAGATTTTAAATGCAATATGTTTGTACGATGTATACATCATGGATTAATTAATAGATATAAAATTATTTTTAGTCAATTATATAAATAAATTGTTTGAAGTATTATAATTTCATTCTATATTAATAATTTTCATTTGTAATTTCAACTTTATAACTTTCATGTTGCCATAATAAAACAATATATTCTCTTTTTATTTGGAGGAACTCGCGGCAACAAAGGCCATTGGATGTGGGGTGGTACAGTAAGGGGGGATTATTTATATATATATTTTTAAGTTGGTAGGATTTTAATTCGTGGTATTGTGTATGTGTGTTTTTTTTGTCGCTAAAAATCCAGGTGGTCACCCATCCGGGAGCAAACGACTCATAGCTTCAGCAATCTTACGTGATTTCAGTCAACCACTGCTCCACACCATTGCATAATGTAATATTGCTCATTATAAAATCAATATTTATGAATTGCAAATAATGTTTTATTCATCATATTACTCAATATATTTAGACAAAATCATTTTAACAGTACAACTGTACAAGTGCATGTTTAATTGAATCAAATTAATGACATAATATTCATCAGAAAAAATGCTTCAAAAACAGGTACAGGATTACTTATTATTAAATTGGAAACAAATCAGGTCAAAATCAAAACACTGTCTAACAAATGTAGTATAAAGGTCTAAAATGTTTTACACACAAACTTCTATTATATTATATGATTTTTATGATAATATTAAAAATATTATCAAAGGCTTCTAAATGACTAAGTTTATACAAATTTAATCATAACACATATTTTCAAATTACTTAATAATAATTCTACATACATGTTAGTCTAAATTTAAAACGTAAAACATATGCTGTCAATAAATCGTTTTATATATTATGCATACATATATAGTGCATAATTATACATAGCATAATGTTACTTAAGTTGTTTCAGCTGAAATTTATTTTATCCCTAGTCCAGATAAACCTTCGGCTACATGTGAACTGTCTATAGATGTCTGTACGGCTCCATTGTTACTGGCCTCTCTGTTACACTCTTTTTTATGAACAAACCAATGGATGCGTTGACACTCACGGTCGCAATATTGCACAGCTTTGCATTTGGCACATTTTTTGGTAGCATTATTTTCAGCGCATGTACCACATATGCGTTCATCACCAAATGAATCTACGCCCATACCACGTCTATTTCCAATCATTACCAGTATAACATTGAGGGCTGTCATGCTATCTTTACCTCGTGTCAGACTAGCAACCATCTAAAAATAAATGGTAATATTTTTATTATATAAATTATCCTATAATAATTCGTTGAATTATATATAAAAAAAAAAATAGAAGTTACTAATTCAAGATCCATAAAGTGTGGTATTTGCAAGTTATAAAAAAAAATTAATGGATTGTATACTTATTAAAAAATAACATTTATTTTTATTATAAAAATAAGTTAAATTTGTTTTTGTTAAATCTTATGTAATTTATTTTTAAATATAAATAAGTTTTGCTTTAGGAAGTATATATTTTAATAATAATTAATAAATAGTTTAAAACAGTTTGTTAATTAGATAAATTAATTTCAAGACATAAGTGTAAAAACGCAGTAGGTTTATAAGGATTTTGTTTAGTAAGCTCGAAATTATAAAATAGGTCGCTTAAGATAATACTTCTTTTATCATTATGTTGTTTAATAATATGTTTTAAGTACCTAAGGGGATTTATCAATAGTAGAACATTCTAGGTTGTGCTGAATCCAAAATAAATACAAAATTCTACAAAGAATAATTTTACCTGTCTGAAAATAGTACAATCTCTAAATGGGAACATTCTAATGCAATCCTTAAGAAACTGTTCAGAATAAATTTCACTTTTCAATATTTTCTTAATGAATAATTCCTTTGGATCTGATTGTTTTTCGCTTTTCATATCACTACAAATAGAAAATAATATTTTTAAATTTATATTATATTGTTAACTATATAAAAAAGATATTACTTGTACTTGGCAACTTCAATCAGAATGCTGGCTAAGTAATGAAACTTAAAAGCCATCACTTCATTAGTTTCTAGCTGTTTGTTAATTTCACGCTCACACATCAAATTCAACACTTTGTAAATTTTTGACGAATTATCATCGATCAAGAAAACTGGGGGTATTTCTAGGGCCACTTTCACTGGATGGATATTGGTCTATAAGATATTATGGTACAATGATAATTAGTAGTTATCACACTCAATGAAATCTGGTTGTATGATGTTGCCAATATTAATAAGAATAATACCATCATAATAAATTTGTGAACAGATTGGGCTAACTCTGGAGGTAACTTTGGTTCATTATCATTTGAGTCTGGTTTTGTATAACAAGTGACTTCTTCTTCTGGTACATAATTGCTGATTACTGCCACACAGTTGTGATTACCTATGAATAATAAACGTGACATGAATACCTGGCAAGTAGGTCATACTAACCTATGTGTACTAACCTACGAAAGCGCCCATTTGAGAAGCAGTGCGTCCGACAGTATTGGTCAGTTCGCTTTTGGCACCGGCAGCCAACAGCAGACTACACACCACGGGATTGCCGCTGAGGGCAGCAAAATGCAGAGCAGTATACTGGTACTTGTGTTTACCTGAATTAACGTCAGCACCCTGCGATGGACAAAATGATTAATAATTGAAAATAACAATTTGATGGTCACTTACCCTGTTCAACAGCCAACGGACGATTTGCTCATTGCCTTTGTATGCAGCGTGTTGGAGCGGTGTCATGCCATGTTCGTCCAGTATATCCGTGCTCAGGTCGTGCTTAGCGTAGATCTTCTGGAGGCCATCGAAGTCGTTGACGAATATCGCTTTGAAAACGTCTTGCGTCATCCCGTCGCCGTCCTCAGAATAAATCATCGTTAGAAACAGGAACGTGTGACAAACAACTCACCTAGTCCACTAGCAAAATCTCCAGGTGAGGACTTCTACCTTTTGATATATGTACCGAACCGGATGGAAAATGCAGACTAAACTAATACGTAAAATTAATATATTGACGAGGTGTTCCTCGAGGAGCGTATAACAGTGCTTTGAGCAGTACGCTTACACTATGGTATCCACTACGATCAAGTGTCGAAAATTATGTAAACAAATCATGTACCGCCGTTTGCCGTGATACCAGCATGCTGTTATCACTTACGACCAAACAAGAAAACAAGACCATGGTTATCTACGCGGTTGCAGATGGTATTTACCATAGACATGTAACTGGTAAAATATGGCTAAATATTTTTTTTATTTACTCTCAAACTTAAATGAAAATATTCACAAAAATACATGGCTAAATAACTTAATTCCTAATAAAAGTCAATAAAAAGCTTTATTAATAATAATTACTAATTATTAATTATTATTAAGGCTCTCTACATAATAAGTTGTTTAGATATGCAAAAATCCACCTCACTCCATTTATTATTTTTATTTTGACTTGAATGAATTATTCACTCCATTTATTTGTTTACGATAAATATTCGAAAAATACTTAAATTAAATTAAATACAATTTTCAACTTCGATAGGGAAAGTGAATCTTGTTGGTGTATTCGAGAGGTCAAAAGGAAATCCTCAATAATTTTCAAAAACGCCAAGAAAAACTAAAAAAATTAAGTAAAAACGGGAATTTTCAAGGAAAACCAGTACCTATTTGACAAAATAAATTTGGTTTTTTTAGTGCTGATACATGACATTTTCATCGAATGTTTGTACTTTGTTTTAGTATTTATACTAATATTTTCTGAACACTGTACAATTTTCAAAATACTTTAAACTTTTTTTAACTCGTTTTAATTTATTTATAGACATAGGTACGAAAATTAATTTTTTTCCACTATTGTAGATAAACATTATTTAGTTCCGACAAAAAACTTGAGAGTTTAATACAAGTTTCGTCATAAGTTGTTTTTAGTGGAAATTAAAAAAAAATCTATTTAAGTATTCTACATGTCTATCTAGACTAGATAATATGCCATTGATATTGAGTAGGTACTAGATATATAATTTTGTTTTAGTACATTTTTAACATGACAAAAAGATTTTTTCAAGTGTTTGATCAATGGTAATACTCGAGTTATTAATAAAATGTATCTAATTAATACATTTTTATCATTACCTATGTAATATTATAATGTTCTACCACTTATACCTATTACTCTACGATCATTGAACAGCTTACACTGAAACTTCACAGCATATGGTAGGTACCTATTTTAGGGTATTGACGATATTTAGCTCAACTCAAGACAGTGGTTTATACCAGTAAGAAAGGTCCTACACTATAAAAAAGTCAATTAATTAAAGAAGCCTAAAATAATCACAGATATATATAATATAATTAGTTAATTACTTAAAATAATGTATTCTATAGTTATATACATCTGTAAAAATAATAAAATAGTAAATACAATAGTACCAATAGTTTAATAGTAGGTACAATTATTATAATAATGCAATTACCAATTTAATATTTTAATCACGCCTCTTTATTATGATGACTTACGTCTGTTACAAAACCTAACACACCGATTTTGTTTGCTTTTTTATTTGTAATTTGTACCTATACCTATATCTAGTCTATCAATTTTATATAGATATATTTAAAATGGTCGACGTTTTTCTACTTAGAACTTCACAAGAATAAGTATTTAGGTACCTAAATTTGTCTGTAAACTTTTCCAATTGCCAGTTAGCCACGATTTAAGATATACAAGTTACTCAATCTCAATGCCGTATTGCCGTATAGAAATTGGTCTCCAGAGTGATGCTCGCCGTTTACCCTTTAAAATCAACTATTCACCATAGGTAGAAGTACCGTTCTTGAAGATAAAACTTGGGCATCAAAAAGACAAAAATAATGCTGCGTTGAGTAACCTGTATAATATCTTAAATCGTAGGTAGAATGTAGATAACAGAACATAGTACTTACTATTGACCTATTATAATAGATCAATGGTAGGTACTTATTTGCTGTCTTACCACAGAATAGATTAAATTTAATCTATTCTGTTGTCTTACTACTTTGGTACGGTTGTAATTTGTAGTAACAAATACTATATTATATTATGACAATACTGAATACGGACAACTAGTGTCAAAAATTGCGATACATGAAGTACCCCCCCCCCCTACCCCCGAGAAGGTAACGCTCTACGTCATCTAGTCTAAGATTATATTTTGTTAGTGGTCTATGTACTATGTAGTCTACGATTATCAATTTTCATTGTTTGTCTAGTATTGTTATATTTGGTAGTATTTGGTATTACCTATTACTAGTATTACTTAATGGCACTACACCAGTCAGCAATTACCTACACTTAGTCCTGTTAAACGAGCGAGTGAGCAGTGAGCCACCAGGGTGGCAGGGTTAGACACCAGTACACCACTACAACACGTAACGGCTACGACCTACTTACCACCAGTTGCTCTAGCCTTTATTTTTTTAAGGAATCTACAGACTCTGGAGCTGCGGTTCCCAACCTTTTTAGCTATGCGGACCATCAATTTTGTAAAAAAAATCTTTGAGGCCCACAAACAGCTCATCTATATACGAATGCATAAATATATAAATATAATATACAAACTTCAGTTGTTAGAATTAAAAAGAATTAAAAAATCAATTGTTTTTTATGAAAAACAATTTATTAAACTTAATCACAAGTTAAACAATCTAATGTGATTTTTGACATTACTTGTCCTTCGTGAGAGAGTCAATATCGGGATGAAAATTGGATGTTTTACAATTAAATCACTTTCAACATTCAGTTAATTCCTATATTTATCGTTAATTAATAATTTGACACTACAGAGTGTAGATAATATTGATGAATATTATTATAACCAGAAATATTATTAGGTATATACTAAAAATATGTAATAATATTATTTAAAATATATATATAATATTAAATATTATATTATATTTATATGGTTCACGGTCCAGTACCACACTGCTCGAGGACCACAAGTGGGCCGCGGCCCATGGTTTGGGAACCGCTGCTCTAGAGTATTATAATCTGTGATAATGCAATGTGGTTTTAGTCGTAGATTGTGGAGAGGGGATTTTTGCCGAAACGCCTGTTTTTCCATTTTCCACCGACCGATGACATTCTCACTATCACTATGTGTCTAGTCAGTAGTCACTATCACAATGTGTCTAGTCACTATCTCAGACCTCAGTCGTGTGAGCTGTTGATCATATTTCAATCGTTACACTTTAGTCTGGTTATTTGACATCTATAGACTTTTGTTGAAAAGTTTCAGAGTAACTTTTACTCTATACGACTATACTGTTTTAGTTTGTAGACTGTGCACTATTTTAAATATTTAACGACCATAATTCATAAAATCAATACTGATCCATGTATTGCATGTAATTTTTAAAAATAACATATTTTAACTTTTTATTATTTGATATATAATTGTAGGTTATTAAACCAAGATCAAAATGGTTAAACAAATTAGTGAAGTATTAGATACTTGTCAGAAAGTAATGAGACAATCTAAAGATGTGAAAATTATTTCATCAAACATTCCAAAATTGGCTCTAAAGGTATTTTATAATTGTGTTAATTAGTTTACTAAATTAATATTTTATCAATAATATGAATATATTATTATTATTATAAAAATTTAATGCTTATTATTATTTTAAAGAAATTATCCTTAAGAAGACACCACGCACAATTTGTTATGTTTTATGTTTGTAAGATGGAGACAACACATGCATTTGTGACTCCCTCTTAACATTCAGCCTTTGAATAATATAATTAATATAAGACAAGTAAAAAATAGTGAAAGAGACGTGAACAACCTCAATTTTAAATTAAGATATTACATAATATAATATATATGTATATATATATATATAGGTGGTAGGGTGATTCACCAAGCATGTTCACCATAGGCGGAAATCCATTTGAAATATTGGGCGGCTACTATTTTTCAAAAGAACCTAAACTGTGGGAGCTTTGCCCCTTTATTATAACTGTTGGAATTTTGGAGGTGGCTTGACAGACTTTTTTTTTGGGGGGGGGAGAGCTTAGCCCTCCTAAGCCCCCAAATTTCAGCCTATGATGTTCACCCCCTTTTTTTATTGAATAATGCAACTGTTCAAAATCTGATTTTTGGAATTCATAAATATACTTATTAGTTATTATTATACCATATTTTCTTTCAAACATCAGAACTTGAATAAACTCATTATTAAAGGAACGAATAGGATTGAGTATGCTTGGAATACTCTGTTTATAATATAAGTATTTACTACCACCACCACCCCAAAATTTACTCTAATAATTAATATACAAATTATACTTAGATTTACACATTAATTGAAGAAGACAAATTAACTCTTGATGAGTTTAAAAAATGTCCATTGCATCCAAAAAATGAAGACGAAGAAGCAATTAATTGGATATTTGTTGTTGATTCTTTAAACTATTGTTTTTTTGATCCAAATAATAAATCACATTGGAGTGTTACTTGGAAAAATGAAAAACACACAGGCTATTTTGGTTTGTGTGCTGCAATCAATAGAGCTATAGAAGTTTGTAAATATTTTAAAAAAAAAATGCTATTTTTGTAAATTTAAAAATCAATTAAATTAATTCTTGTTTTTATAGAAAGGGATAAAAATGACTGATATGAAAACTTGTTTGGAATTAACAAGGGAGCAATTGGATGAAATACTTTTAGGAGATGATGGGACAACTCTTCCACTATTACAAGAAAGGTATTTGTGTTTACAAGAATCTGCATCTGTTTTACTAAAAAAATATAATGGTATGTTTTTCAAATTAATTCAATTTATAATCTTTGGTACTATTTTTTTTTATATTATGTACTGACTTAATATTTGTAAATTAAAATTTTTAATTATTATTATGTTAGGAAACTTTGTGAACTGTATATTAGAAGCAAATAATTCTGCTCAGGACTTATTAAAAATCATTTCTAAAAATTTTTTTTATTTCCGAGATGAATCCACTTATAACGACCAAAAAGGTAATATTATATATTATTATTTATCAATGTTAATATTAAATAGACTTATTCAAATAATTCTAAATTCGTTATTTTTTTTATTTTTTAGTTGCTATTTATAAAAGAGCTCAAATTTTGATTGCTGACATTTGGTCATCATTCAGGGGTTCTGGTTACGGCGAATTTCGAGACATAGATAGTTTAACCATGTTTGCAGATTATAGGTAAAATAAATATTACTTATACATATATATATGTTATATTATGAATTTTGTAACCGATTTGATTGAATTTTATATATCACTATGTATAGATTATTATAATTAATATCCAGAAAATTATATTAATTACAGAGTCCCTCAAGTTCTATTATACTTTGGTGTTTTGGAGTATTCAGATAAATTAAAAGACACTCTGCAACAAGGTGAGTTTAAGTTATAATTAGATAAACATTTATAATATTATCTTATTTATTTTTAATTTTATTAACACAGGTATTCTTCTTAAGCATGGAGCACCAGAAGAAGTGGAAATTAGAGCAGCTTCTATTGTAGCAGTTGACGATGTTGTAAATGAGGTGAAGAAATTAATGGCAAAAAATAATATACATAAGATTTGCAATTCTATTATGGTTGATACTTATTTATGGGGTTACCGGAGGGAAAATGCTGCAATTTTGGAAGACACGCCATATCACAAGACATTAAATATTTATTATTAAAATTACGTAGTATGGATTGAGTAAATGATTTATGAAAATATTGTACATCTTCATTTTTTTAAGACTAAAAATTATTTGGACTTTCGATGTTTTATAAATTGCATAATATTTTAATCAATGCCATCAAGTTTTGCAAATTTGTTATGTCACTAGTAATTGTTTTTTAGTTGCATTACTATAAATCTAAAAATAGAAATGAAATCATAATTGCTTCAGAATTAGGCATGTCATTTTATTTTGGTTTGTTATTTTTGGCAATAAATACCGGTGTATTTATTTTATTAAAGTTCTACCGTAGAAGGTAGAACATTGAACAATACTATTAGATATTAGCGGTATTTGATATTATTTTTTGCCCACCTACTCTTTGATATAATATGTAACATGCCTACACACTTTTATCTATTTTCTATGCACACTACACAGTACATGATCAATTTGTTCTATATATCAACGTTGTATCGACCTTTAAATCTAAATGGCTAATTAAACAATTAATGACCATAAAGCGGACTATGGAATGAACCGTGAATGCAGATGCAGAATGCACCATGATATCAATAATTATTTACTATCGACAATCATATTCAAGTAATTGCTTTTGGTTTTTCAAAGTGTCTAACACTCAACAGGCAACAATCAGTGTAGCCCGGTTCCAAGTCCGTAATTTTAGACGGTTTCGTTTCCGAGTGGCATTGACTAAACACTGTCGGTTGATTTTCTTATCCATGAGCAGCCATAGGTAACATCGATGACTATGTTGTGGATGGGGAAAACGGTTACGCCGATCTAATGTTGCCGGTAACACTGTGTGACGTCAGACGCAGTCCTTTGATCCGTGACACCTGTTGTCCGCGAACCCTAGTCCGGTTCAGGCCTTTGTACATCACCTATGTTTTTTCTTTTCTATTTGTTTGTTTTTTTTTATTTATTTTTCACGGTCGCTAATTTTCAGTAACGAAATATCGTGAGTATGCTGTATGCCTGATCGGTGTTCGCGATATGTTAGGTAGCAGACGACGAGTGAAAACGCTACCGATCGCTGTTCGAACGTATCCGTCGTCGGAACGCATACGCCGAGATGTCATCGAGACGGGACGAAAGAAAATACAAACACACGTCGAAAAGACACGAAGAGTGAGTGTCAATCATAATAAAATATAGATAGGTACTTTTTTTAGGTATCTCTATGTACCTACCAACTGCGTTAGGTAGGTGTACATGTTGTGAAATCGTTGAAATTTTGGAACTGGTCCGACTTACGCTTGTTCATCGAACTGATGGTTCGTTTTTTTCACTTATGTACTTCGTCGTTAGATTCATTAAATTCTGGAAATCGTGAATTGCACGTATTTTGATGATCTCTTTCGTTTCAATACTATCTATGTATACATTTATTATTAAATGCAATGATTTTGTTTAGTTTATGTGCATGTCTACTTTTTAGATCCTGTTGAGATGGTTTGTTCTAAATGTTTCATGTGAATGAATGAGAGTTGTGCTATATTATAAGTTTTCTTTGATTGTTGTGTGTGACAATATTTTTGTGAAATTTTGAATAATTTTGCGCTATGAGACGATAATAACGATACCATAGACAGTGTTTGGGATTTCTTATCTATAACTCAGTTTCTTTCATAATATATACTCTTATTACACTAATGACAATCCATTATATAGTAGTTAGTTGAGTACCTACTTAACGCAATATTCAATTGCAACAAGTTAATTTAATTTAAATTTCGGTTTATACTTTCCATTCAAATGATTAATATTTTTGTATAATCTTGTCTCATACCTAAGTGGTTAGGTATCCTAATTTTTTTTGTTTAATTAATTTTAGCAATAATTTGTGCCAAGTTATTAATAGTAGCAATTGCTAGAAAATTAAAATTTGTTGAGATTAGTAAGTTTATTTAGGTGATTTTTATTTTTTGAAAAGTTATCCAGGAATTTTAAATAGGTAGTTATATTACGAGTATATTATACTAACTGTAAATCCCAACTTTGCTGGGAAAAAATTAACTAACATAATATAATAATATATTGGTGTATCTTCAAATGTATCTCCGTTTTAGTATACCCAAATTCACGGGCAAATCTTCATTGGTTCACCAAGCTTTGAGAATTAATTCAGTCAATATGGGCAATCAGCCTGAGGTAGGTTGGGTAGTATTTGATATATTTTCCAATGTCTTTCAAACAAATCTTTAATCTTTCCTGATATCTGAAACTTTTGTTAAAATTGGTTGAAAATATTTTTTGAGTTAATTTACCGCAAACCTCACTTCAAACTCAAGGACATTGCATATTGTTATATATTTTAATTACATTTAATTATTTAAAACAAATAATTAGTTAATATAACTATATTTTATTAAGCTTTGAACAATAAGTTATTAGGTACAGCTCGACAATTAGAACCCTAGTTTTAATGCTTCATTTGTTATGCAAGGATTATTTAAAATATAAATTATAATAATAATGTGTAAGTATACTGTATTTAATTCAAAAATTAGTATAAAATAATAAAACAATTTTTATGAGATAAGTGAAATTGCTTTTTATTATTACAAATATTCTTAAAATTGGGATTTAGTGATGAAAGTTGTTTATCATATTAGATTTGGCTTCAAGTCTGTTGTGGTATTTTATTTTTGTTGATATATTTTTATTACAACGCTCAAATATCATTTATGTATCTGTAACACTGTAAGTGCATTATATTAGTATAGACTATACCACATCCATTATTATTTAATATACACATTTTTTTTTCTTTAATACAAATATTTTTTTCCCTACCACCTAGTCTATTATTCTTTAGTTCGATTTTTTAAAATAATTTTCTTGAAAATTTTGAAAAAAAGCACTCTAGTTTTTGCGGAATCCTGAAGTGATCCCCAATTCATGAGAAATCTCGTGAGCATAGTTTAAGCAACATTATTTTAAACCATATGGATGGCCATATTTCTTGCAATCCTTCTTCTTGTCGACATCAGTTCCTGGTTTTATTCTTAATTTGACCCTTCTATTCAAACAACAATCCTTAAGGTCCTTATCCCAGTAAAGTACTATATTGCACTATAATATAACTCGAGGTATAGGTTACCAACGTTATGAACTTTTTTTTAGTTCTACTTTTTGTCTTTTTAATCTAACCATTTAGTATATATTATAGTTTATAATACCATGTGTATGACCACATGTTGTTTATAAACAGTTAATAAAGCTTTTAAAATTAGTTACTTACATGACTAGGTTTTTATATTAGAATATTAAGCTAATTGGCATGATTTTATTAACTGTGCAAATGATTGATGTAGATTTGGTATTAAATAAGTTTTTAAAATTGTATGTACTTAAGTATAGAACTTAATTGTAATTTATACCTGTTTAAAAAAGGAAATTTCCCTATATTAGATTTTCAGAGTAAGTATAGTTTTATTGTTAAGTGTTGTTTTTGTCTTTATCACATTTTGGAGCAGACAGTTTACTCTTCTACTCAATCTTCGAATTGAGGAGGGTAGATTCTGTTACCAAATTTGATTGAGTTGACATTCCGGAGTATATTGCCACTATTTTTCTTAAAAGTTCAGAATAACTATTAAAAACAAAAAATATTTAAGTAATGGCTTTTTTTGATAAAAATAATTTTGATTTTTTTTATACCTAATTAAGAAAAAAATATCAGTGGAGTTATTGACATTCTTTTCAATTAAATATTTATATTAGCTATACTATAATTTTCAAAACATTTTGGAATTGAGCTATTTATAGATATTTAAAATTTATATTTTCTACATTTTTTTTTTTATTAATGTTAAGTAGAATTTTTATTTCTTTGTTAAAATGCTTACATTCAATATAAGGTTCCTCATAAGTTGTTCTCATAGTAGTAACTATTTTATTCAGTTATTTTATTAGGTAGGTACAATTCAAACAATTTTAAGTATAGGAACTTTTTACTGCATTTGTATTTTCTATTCACAAAAATTATGTAGACTTAATTTTAAACTAGTTATGCCACAAACCTATTCTAACCATTCTATGAACACTGGACATAGTACAGCAATATTACCATAAATTTAATGAAATCTTTTTGTCAAAAATTAGCTCAATCTAATGAATGAAGAAAATGTTTATAATATTATTAGTGTAATATAGCATTGACAATCCTTTAGAATAGATGCTGATCTTTTGCTCAGAACCATTTTTCATATACAAATACTATGACTTATCATTTTAACACATCTATTTCAGTTATTCAATGGCAAATGTATCTTATCTTATAAGTAGAGAGAGTTAGTTGGTTGTTACTAATAGTAAATGTTTATTCAGAGTTCAAAATAAAACAATTTAAAATTTAAAGGAGAGACACATATAAAAAAGGTTTTTTTTTTAGTTGATTAGAGTGTAGGAAATGTCCAATTTACAATAATTAATAGACAGAACAAAGGTGATAATATATCTACACATATTCATAGAACAATTTTAAGGTGTAAGGTTAAAATATTTATGTGCAAAAACTTAAAACGGAATTATTACACATCTATTTAAGTCCTTAAAATAGATATTATATTTGTTGCAAATTATTTTATAACAGTATTAAACAAACATATTTGCTTATTGTTTTTAACATACACCTATTATCTAGTGAAGGTTCTATCTTCTGCTATTATCATATATAATTATATTTCACCCTTTTTTAGCTAATCTTAACTTTTGGAGTTTAATGTTTTATCATTAAAATTATTTAATTTTATTACTCAATTTTCAATATCTTTGTTATTTTTTATCAATTAATCATAAAATGAATAATAAATGTTTTTCTCGGCTTGTTTAAATATTATTGTGCAATAAAATTTAAATTTGTATAGATTAAAATTGTATCTTACAAGAAAAAACTGTGATTTCAGTGTAATAACGTATTTAACTCCAATGATAAGTGTAGGCCTTACTATTTTGTTTGAGCAAAAAGTGATATAAGCTAACTATTATCATTTATCACTTACCATTGTTTTTGCTGTTATAAAAAAAAAATATTAACATGCATATTATTCATAGATTGTTTACTGTGTAAATCAATTTTGATAGTCATTTGACCTAAGAAATTTGGACAAGTTAATTTTGACTAGACAAGTATTTTTTTTTTTGATAAACTACCGATAGATTTATCTACCATTCTTCCAGACTATTCGTTGATAGTAGTATAATCACTAAATAGGATTAATGATAATTGCATTTTAATATCATGACTTAGGTATTATGTATGGTTTTAAATAATTATTAATTGATGTGCTAACAAACATTATCTTGTATTAGCAAGTATGGTGCAAAATTGATTGTATTCTCATTATTATTATTATTTTAACAATAATGAATGTTTTTAATAAAATATCCTGCAAGGTATAAGGCTTTCACATAACTAGGTATTCTGATTTTCATAGTTAGTTAATATAAACTACATCTAGCTGATTATAGAATAATCCTACAATTAGTAAGAATCTTATTTAATTATATTTCTGATTATTTATGTATAAATTAATAATATGAAATAATTAAAACATAGGTAAATGTTTTATATTTTTTTATTTTATTAATTTATACTTTATTAAGTTAAGGTGCCTTTAAAAATGGAGTGTTTTTGTTTATGCATCGGTACTATGTACCTAAAATCTCAACCTTGTTAAAATTATTTTACTACCAAAATACAATTATTCAAGTGTCTTACCTATACCTAACTAAATGTATATTTAAAAAAAAATACTGAAAATTTAATTATTATTATTATTATACTGTTGTTGTTAATTTACATTATATGTTGTGTACGCAAGTGATTTCTCTTAAAAAAGTGTGAAAACATCAATATCAAATCATTTTTAAATATTTTACTGTAAATTAAAAAAATAATATATTTTATACATATCTTTATAAGTGTAATTTTCTAGAATTTGATGGCAATTTCAAATTTATTATTACATTTTGAAAAAAAAACTGATGAAAGTCATTTAGTTAACGCCGATGTAATAAGCATAAACGCTCCTGGTAAGTGTTAATTAAACTAAAATTAAACTTTTACTTGAGATAATTCTTTATTAAATTATATTAAAGCAATGACCGTAGGGTAATTCATTCTTTTGCCATATTATGAATAGTAATATCCTTTTTTTTAAAAAACTTCAATAATCTTATTTCAATTTGTTGATCAAACATTTTTTCATTTATGTATCTATTTTTATTTCAGAAATCCTGCTGTTCGTTGACAATTAATTGTAACAGATTATGGTAAAAGCCCACGAGTCATGGAGCATCATGTCTCCCACAGGCGCACCGGCTCTACCACCTCGTAAACTATCACAAACCAATCGCCCTCAATCTGTCGAATCAATTGCAACCAGACTGCAAAATCCATTACTAGAACCCAGTTGCATTGAAGAAGCAGAATGGTATTGGGGTGACATAACCAGAGATGATGTACAGGAAAAACTTACCGACATGCCTGATGGTACGTTTTTGGTTCGAAATGCATCAAATAAGGCTGGAGAGTATACATTGACATTAAGGAAAGGAGGAACCAATAAATTAATAAAAATATATCACAAAAATGAAAAATTTGGTTTTTCAGAACCTTACAGTTTTTCTTCTGTTATTGATCTTGTGAACCATTATCGTAAAGTTTCTCTGTCGCAATATAATGCAACATTAGATGTAAAATTATTGTACCCTGTGTCCAGATTTCAACAAGATGAAGAGTTTGGTACTTGGAAAAGTTTAAATGTTGACGTTGTGTGGATGCGTTTGATTGAACTACTTAAAGATATTTTGAAGAAATCTATTTCATATGAAGAATTGTCTAAAGAATTTCAGGCTGCAACTGCTGATATATCAGTGATGCGCATGGGTCTGCAGCAGTACCAGGAAGTGAATAGAATGTTTGAAGATCAACTGAGAGTACATGATAAATTTCTTAAAAAAGCTGAACGCCATGAAGCTGATAATCTAGTTAAAAATATTGAAATAGTAAAAAAAAGAATTAAGCTACTTCTAGATGGCAAAGCAGTACTTGAAGAGAAATTATACACGTAAGTTTTATTTTTAAATATATATTATAGTTTGATATTAATTGTAGTTATGTTGATTTTAGACAAGTGGCCTATAGTCAGACATTGGAGCGGCAAATGTATAAATTAAAACAAGAAGGTGCAATACTCACACGTCAAAAAGATAAATCAGTTCGGTGGTTATTGACCCATGGTGTGGCTTATGAAGCAATTCATCGAGTGCTGAACGGCACTGATTGGAATACTTGTAAGCCTGAAGACATTCAACTACCTCTGAACGTCTCTCATTTAGATGAGGGTACTTGGCTGCTTCAATCTTGTTCACGTGCAGATGCTGAGCGTCTGTTAAATGGCAAGCGCAATGGAACATTTTTAATACGACCCAGTCGTACAGGGCAATCAGCATTATCTATAGTTTGCAATGGGGTCGTAAATCATTGTATAGTGTATAGAACTCCAAAAGGATTTGGATTTGCTGAACCTTACAATATATATTCTTCTCTGAAAGATCTAGTCATGCATTATTCTCAAACTTCCTTAGAAGAACATAATGATTCTCTGACTACTACATTAGCTTACCCCGTGTTAGCTGAAAATGACAAAAAATAAATTGAGTAGTGTATTACCAGCATCAACAGCTCATATTGCTTATGGAATTTGGTGATTCAATTGTGATAATAATTACCTTTTAAATGTTAATTATTTACTAGTATTAAAGAGTTATTTAATAAGGAGCAATATTTTTCATATAAGTATGCATTTATAAGACATATTATTGATGAAATTATATTTTAATTTGTTTATATTTATTATACCATACCAACTTGTTTTCTTGTGTCCAAATTTTTATGTAAAAATTATTTGTGTATAGTATGCATTAGATTATATTAAAAATATTATTAATTTATACATTTTAACAAATTATTTTTCGTTAAAAAACGTTTTTTTATTTTGTATTCTAATATTATATTTGATTAACAATAATGGCAATTTATTTTATTTTCTCCTAGTGAGAACATTTATTATCGTAGTCACCATATAACTATTAACATGAGTGATTTTTAGCTGTGTACTATTCATTTTTAATGTTTAAAAGCATATTTGTGATAAGTATAATTATATTGTTTCTACCATTTAACTGATCATTTAATACCCTTACAAATAGTTTTTTTTTATAATATAACATGAAAATGCAAAAAATGATAAGTTTCATAACATAAGAAATATTATGTAATATGCTATTACCTACCCTCTAAAATATAGAAATCACCAACAATTTTACAACTACGGGAAAAATACCAAACAAACTAAAATATTTTAAATAAATACCTTTCAAAAATTATCTAAATTTACAAATAAACAAACCTAAAAGGATATAATTAAATCGCTCCTTACCGAACCTTTCAATGTTATGAACGCAGCTATACATTCAACAAAACTACAAAAGTAATTCTGTGGTGCTACTGATGCATATATGTGTCCTATCATTAAAAAAAAAAAAAAAACAATAGATGTTTTGATAACTGTGACAACATGAACATTATATGGCAAATGATAAGACTAATACAAAGATACACCAAAAAATATCACACTAAGTTATGTCTACTAAACATTTAGTAAAGAAAAAAAATATTAATTATTAATACTCGAACTATAATAATATAAAATACAAGAAAAACAATTTTATACCCCCATAGTGAATAACTGGAAAAATGAATTCAACAATGAGTGTTAATAAATCTAACCTAACCTTAACTTAAAAAAAATTCAGGTGAAAATAGTCTTGACCTTAATGTTGCAATGATAGCATAAATACAATTCCCTTTTAGCAGTAGTCCAAAACAGCGGTATAATGCTGACTTGAGTAGGCTTTCTTCTTACTTATTAAATAAAGACAAGAAATCTCGACAAAAAAAATTATTTCTGACAAAGTTAGAATTTTAATCCTGTAGTCAAAGGGTTGAAGATAAATCATATAAATATCTGAAAATTGAAACAAATTATATATTTTTATAGTACTAGTAAGTATTATAAAATTATTCAATATTTAATTTCATCATTTTTGTCATGTGTTTGGCTGTACAGTGTACACACACATGGTACAAATATAGAAAGACATGGGGGGGGGGGTCATAAGCAAATAATTTTTTCCTTAATCTTATATTAGTAATGAAAAATAAATAACACTCAGTCATAGAATACAATTGATTTAATTTATTTTTTCAAGACCGGGACGACTAAGTATCCTTGAAGACATTTAAAGTGGGAAGGAGGGATGTATTGTATACGTGCACGATGTACCCTTTATTTCTATTATTGTAATTCGAGTACAGATGTATCTACTGGCTACTGGAGAACATTATTTGTTCCGTGTGATGACTTTTTGTGCCTTTTCAGATTCCGAATTCCAACAGCGAATATATCTTTTTCCCTCGACAGTTGCCCGTCCAGATAAAAACGCCTTTCGTGATCGAGATTCGAACAGCGACTTGTTTTTCTAACGCGATCAATACCTAGGCAATTTTCTTTAGACAATTAGACCAGTACATGGCTTAGAGCCCAGAGGTCAATGTTATGCAAATAAATAATATTTGACAGATCAAATTCAAAACTGGCTTCTATTATATCGGAAATTAGGAAATCGGTTCTGTAAAAATTATTTTGCATTAGGTACCTATTATTTATTTACCATCACATAGGTACCTGTCTAACTTAATTGAAATGTTATATTTTAAACAGTTAATGCACATGCACGTACATATATTATTCAATATAATATGTCTAAAATAATTACTACTAGGTATTATTATTAGCAACCGGAGTCGTATAAAGTAAACCAATTATCTGAAAATTCACTGACAAATAAATTAAGATATGGCCGCATACGGACAATTCGTGATTAGGTATGAAAAATGAATGTCATATCTCGTCCATCAACATTTTTGTGTGTCTGACTTAGTCATAATATAATCTTGAATATTTGTTTGTACTTGGTAGTTTTAAGTTTGTACCATTTTAAATGACTTCCGCATTTTTTTTCGGTGTTTTTACGACAAATTAAGATATGCTATTTTTTAGTAGGTATATTCGTGGTTCGTGGTTTTTTCAAACAAGATATTTAACTCTAATATAGGTATTTTCAATTTTAGTACTTATTAATCCTTATAATATTATTAGTACCTATACAAATGATAAGTAATAACTTATAACCCATTTTTTTTCTCAATGTGTTTTTATTTTATTAACCCTATCGAGGTAAATAGGTAACGAATGATGATTTAAGTATATGAATGATGTCTTGAAATACTTAACATTTCCAGCCGAAATGAGTTATGATAACTAACCTAATAAATTTCTAACTTGAGATTACTTTTTGATCTTTGTTTTTAATCATCTTTGCTCTTGCTATAATTATTTGCGAATCATTTTTCAACTGTTTTTCGCCCCCAAATGTAACCATAAACTTTACATGACAATTAATCATTTTTAACTTATTTTATTTTAGAGAAGACAATTTTGACCGTCGAAAGCCACACAAGTATCGTGACAACAATAAATCCCCCGAACGACAACATCGAAGACATAATTCAAATTCTGACGACGATGATCGTAGAAAAAGACCAAGGCATGATCGCAGGGACAACTCAAGACATCAAGGCAAGTCAGATGCTGATCACGTATGGGGCAATAAAGACTCATCTAGTGAAAAAAAACCGGTAGTGAAAAAAGAAGAACCCAATTTTGAAACCACTGGCAAGTTAGCCGAGGACACAAATACTTTTAATGGTGTAGTTATTAAGTATAGCGAGCCAGCTGAGGCGAGAAAGCCGAAACGACGCTGGCGGTTGTACCCATTCAAAGGAGAGAAACAATTACCTGTATTACACATACACAGACAAAGTGGGTATTTACTTGGACGTGATCGTAAAGTGGCAGACATACCAATAGATCATCCGTCGTGCTCAAAACAGCACGCAGCTCTCCAGTACAGGTTAGTTTCAGCCAAAAAAGATGGGCGCCATGTTAGATGTATTCGGCCATATATCATTGATTTAGAGTCAGCTAATGGCACTTATGTTAATAACCAGCGCATAGATTCAAAAAAATATGTGGAATTAATGGAGAAAGACGTCGTTAAGTTTGGGTTCAGCTCTAGGGAGTATGTGCTTTTACATGAACATAGCACGGATTCTGGAGATGATGATAGTCTTGCTGAAGACAATCCAAACGAGGAATCTAATGTAGATTGAATGCAAAACTTATTTTAAGGAACTAGAAGTTTTCTTATTTTTAATCTGTAAATTAAATCATTTTGATATAAAAAAATCAAACGAAGATCAACATTTAATTTCTTGTGTTATAAATAATTACCTTTTTACAATGAAGTATAACTTTTTTTTGTGTATATAATACAATGAATATTTTTGTAAACAATTACATGACCTGATAATAAATTAAGTTTTATTACATACTTAATGATTATGTATTAAATTTATCTTGTCTGTTATGGATATAAAAAAAATTAAAATGTACCTTTATAATGAAATAAAATTCAACCTCAAAGTTTAAAAAATAATACTTAGCCTCAGTATCTAATATCTATAATAATTAATAATCTTCAATAGTAAATTTATTGGCTGTACTATAGAGAATTTCTTTGATAGTTTCCTGGCAGTCACAGTACTCTACCCAGGGTCTTTCAATATTATCGTGAAGAAGTTTCAAATGAGAGTATAAGAACTGAATGTATTGGAGACCATCACATTCATTTGATTTAATTTTCTTAATTATTTCATACAACTTGATTGATGATTTTTGTAACAAGTCTGAATTGATGTCAGTAAATATTTTACATCTATAATAAAATAACTGATGAGGATAAGTACATAATAATATAAAGATAATTATTATTTCTTACTCTGATCGTGGCTGATCAGCTAATACACCATACAATGGCCAATTGTTTTCACAAGATGAACACTCACAACAAAAACAATATTGTTTTTTAAGTATTCGAAGTCTAGATTCTTTTGGATGTGTAGCATACAATAATCCATAGTTATCAAAAAGCTAAAAACAAAAATATCAGTCAGGATTGGGTAACAAACTTAGAGAATCACCAACTGAAAATTAATTTTATCCAATTCAATCAATTGATTGAATAGAAAATTAATGAGGTAAAAAATAAAATTACAATTTATAATGAGGTAGGTAAAAAAAAAATAATTTATTATGAGGTAGTGTATTAGTTTAATTTTTATAAATTTAATTTAAAATGATCACCTGTGAGTCTTTAGAAATAGGTTGAATAGCCGTGAGGACTAAAGTTCCATTGTAATTGTGTCTTACTACATTAGGATCACAATGATGGTTTAACAAGCTCAACACTGGCATTAACAAAGAAGCAACTGGTGTAAATCTTTTATCAAGCACAAGATTTTGCTTAAGTTGTGTCTCAAAATTCTAGGGTTGTGTTATACCATGAGCATTAGAAGAAACTGCACATATTATATGAACTAATGATCCACCAACAGTACCTAATTGATGATATGGTATTTGTAGGCCCGATAATGTCATTAATGAAACCATAACAGCTGCATAACAATATCTTGAAAATAGATCGCTTACTGTTCTTTTATATTCATTTCCTTCCAACGTGTATACAGAACAAAATTGATCAGATAAATATTTGCCATTATTATTAAAGCCTCGCATCATCGAATCAGTAGTATCAGCATTCAGAACACACACAGTGTCAATATACTCGTTAAATCCTAACTTACAAACTGATTTTAAGAATATGTTAAGTGATAGATGTTCCATGTGATCCATGCCAGGCCACTCTTTAAATGTTGAAAACATTGCGCATTCATATTTATGGCCACTCTCGTAAGATTTTATTCTACAAGATTCATCACAGTAAATAACCTGTTGACAATATATATATATATATATGCACATAATAATTTGGCTAGTATTATATTTTATAAACAATAAATGAGGCTCAGATTTCAAAGCAAATACTTTATTTGTGAGGTTTGAGGTAGAAAAATTTTTTTTATATAAGTGTAATATATATTTTGTATCATTTTGTATCATTCTAATTGTAATGTTTATTTTTCTATTCTTCCTTTCCATTGATGAATAATTTTCACGAAAATATCATACATTACATACTCGTATTATATTTGACTGGTTACCTACTATATTATAAAAAGGAATATGTGAAATGTCTGGATTTAACCTTCAAAATTGTTTATTTTGTTATCAATTAAATAATTATGCTAACATAATTGTCCAAAAAAAGCTTATTGTAGTTTTATAAAAATAGCGACAGTTTGAAAAGGTAAAAAATAATTATAAATATAAATATTTTTCTGTTATTTTCAAGATTAAATTAAATGAATGCTTTATGGGAATTATAAATTCCCTTCGATGATTTATTTTGCTACAAAATCTGAGCTATTGAGAAATGATCAATTAATGTTTCATTTTTAATAATATTTCAAAACCTTATTTTAAAAAGAAAATATAATATATTATAATTAGGTAACTGCAGTAATGATAATATAAATGTTGTTAATTCTTACCGAAGTACACTTTAGACAAGGTATGCCACTTAAACAACATTTAAAACAGTTCTGACAGTTTATTTCATAGGATTCACGTCTTAACACCCCTGCATAAGGTTTTTCAATAGCAAGGACTTCTCCTAAAATGTAATCAAGATAAAAAAATATAATAAGATTATTAACAAATCAACTAAATTATATTCATGGAGTCAGTGGCGAATTTAGGGGGGGAAGGGGCCTGGGCCCCTCCCGAAATGAAAAACGCAATATTAAAAATTGTTATTTTTGACATGAAACTTTTTTTTATATTACAATTCATTAAAAAAATGATTGAGTTTCTTATTACTCTGATGGTGTAAAGAGAGTTGAAAGGTCTTGTAGTATTCAAGCAATTTTTGTCCAAATAGTGTGTCTCCTTCCTCCTTTCCCCAAAGAAATCTAAATATATAATTGGCCCCCTCCAAAATAAAAACCTATATATGTCATTGCATGGAGTTATAGATAAATGAAAAAAAGTGAAGACTCTTTGCTATGTTACTTAACTCAATTTATCAAAATTTAAAACGCTTACTGTTTAGGCACAAAAAACTAAATTTCAGTTCTTAATATTTTATTATCTAATGTTAAAAATGTATTTTTCTTTTAATTATTAAATTATAAATATAGGAAGCCATTTAACTATCATAAGTTGAAAGTGGGTTATAAACAAAAGAAGAACAAATATACTACATGTACTATGCACCCAGGGGCGGTTCCAAGGGGGGGGGCCTTAGGGACCACACATATGTTAATGGTAGGTTTCTGATTGAGATGCTTGATGTATGGATGCAAGAAAGAAAAATGTTACAATGTTGCATATTCATCAATCTTTGTTAAAGATATAAATATAAAATAACAGATAAATAAGTGATGGTTCACCTCAAATATCTCAGTCCCATCTATAGTTTATAATCTAAGGTTGACCATAATCTCATTTACCTGGATTAATATCAGATGAAACAACCAAACATCTACCCATTGATTCTGAATACTTCACTTTGACAAACTTTGACAATGCCGGGATATTTTTATTTGGACCTCCAAATAATTTGATTACATTTAGTTTATCTTGCTGATTATTTGTCTCTTTTTCATTCATAAACCTTTTAATATTCATTTCAATATTTTTTTTATTTTCTTTGGACATTAAGGTTAGAGATAAATGAGACAAAAATTCCTTAAAAAAAAAATTAATTTATAAAATGTTTGACGTTACAACTTGCAGAAGTCTCTGATATAATAATACTTGCTTTCAATTTTAATTCAGCTTGGGATATCTTTCCCATTTGTTTTAGACATTTCACTTCTCTTTCATATAACTTATAAGACAGTTCAGTAGGATATTTATTTGCTAAAGCGCGGTGAATGTCTTGGATACAAGCATCATATTCTCCCAAATAATAGAGGGCAGCTGAACGATTTGCCAAAGCAAATGCATAGTCTTCGCTATTGATTTTTGCAGTCATAAGACTTTTATTGTATTCGGATAAAGCGGAGTTAAACTCACCGTTTTTAAATTTTTCATTTGCATCAGCTCTGATTTGTCGAGCTTTTTTGGTATTTTTGAGGTTTGTCATTTTACACTCCGTAGGTAATTTATTATATTTTTTAAGTAGATTATATGTGTATAGAAATTTATCTGCAGCAGTGGGTAATTTAGAAAATGTAACATACACCTCACCCATAATTTCGTTTTTTTGAAAACATTTCATGTAAAATAATCGTTCGATTTCGCACGATAGCATACCGTCGTCAAACATTTTCGTACGTCGATATCGGAAAACACGATGATTAATGGTAAAACGGAAACAGTACACACAATACGATAAGTATCAATATTCGAAAACGTTAAATAAATAAACAATAAAATGCAGTAATTGTAATACGTCGAGAACCCGTAAGGAACACTGAGCCGATTAGTCGATATAATGATAATGACATCGACTGTGTAACACAAAACGCACTACGTTATGATAAAAAAATTACAATTTGAAAACGTGTTCGCAACGTCCAAGTTCTGAAGCTCAACCATTACAAGCCACAAATCAAACGCAAATCGCGAGCTCACGAGTAATTATTCTGTGACACAAGTTACAACAACTGTGAACTGTTGCACAATAGAATTTTATTTCTGTAATGAACTATACTGTTGCCTATAATATTGATAATCTTTTATATTATGCGTTCTGTATTCCTGTGGTTGAGACGGTTAGTGAAGAGTGCTCGCGGATCCCAGCTGAGGCTATTTGATTTCCAGGTGCCCGGTGGACGGTGCTTGGGTAGTTGTTGTAAAGTTGGGCAACGCGCCACGCAGACGTCGCTGCTTATAACCCCACTAATTCCAATCAGTAAACGTGAAATGAATAATATAGTATTATACACGGGGCGCTGAGATAGCTTCTATTTTGGGCCGTGAATAAATATAGAATAGGAAACCATGTGAAACGTGAACATAATAATAATAAAAAGTCTTCTATCTAATAGAATAAGAATTTATAAGCAACAATTATATCTATTTATATTTTGTTCGCTCCGACACTTACAGTGTTGCCAATGCTTTTACCATTTAATAATTAAATATATTACAAGACTATTATTCTAAGGTGGTACACCGGTAATAGCGATTTTTCCATGACGAGAAATTTTATCACGGTCGTCCGACGACTATGATTTGGTAAACACAACAGCAAAGAGATGATTAGCACTTGGAATATTCACCGACTGCTAGTGCAGACAGCTATTTAAACGTTTTCAAACGACGCTGTTGCATGACTTATTTATAACGTCCTAATAATATTAATATTAATGTTCAATCACGTTCTGTGATTTATATAATAGTTAAATTTTTGTACGTCGTTCGAAATAATGGGGTCATCTAAACACAAGAAGAAGGACAAGAAGAAACGACACCACTCCAGTGATTCGTCGGACGGTGACTTATCGTCCAAACACAGGAAAAGAAGACATCCATCAAGTGATTTGTCTGATGTTGATGTCTCCAACAAACATAAGAAACACAAGAAACATCATAAGAAAAAAGAAAAGCCAAAGGACAAACATGCTAAGTATCACAGTTCAGGCAAGTAATTTTATATTATATTCAACTAAAGCTGGTTAAGAATCCACCAGATCATCCAAAGGATGTTTTTTTTACTTTTCAAAATTTGATTGTTTTCTTAATTATTATTTTAATATTGGTATAATTGCACTTAAGCTACCAAGCGATTTATTTTTGAAACATGTTTGTAAGTGAGTTAAAAACGATGGTACAAAAATAAAATTCTGCAAATCATTATTTTGGAAGTTATGTCCTTCCAAAGTTTGTGATTTTACGATTAAATGCATAGGCAGCACTACAGTGTACTTCACTGTTGCATGCCGTTTATTTTGTTGTGCCTATTATGGGTTATAATTTTTTTTTAAATGTATTTTACTTATCTAAAAGAAAAATACACTGTGTTAATATAGGTATATAGATTGATATTGTGGTATATATTATATTTTTAAAATATATTATTGAGAAAACAAAAACAAAATTTTTTTTATGAAAAATTGTGTATTTTAATATAGGTTTAATAAAAATATACATTAAACTCATTATATTCATTTTTAGATATACATAATAATTTTTTTTATCTTACAATTTAGACGATGATGTTATTTTTGTACCACCTCCCCCAAAAATATCTCGAAATGAGGTTCGAACTCCTCCACCACCAAGCCTTACACCACCGCCTCCTCCTTCTATATCATCAGCAGCAGACAGTCTGTCAATTGATGAAACAAATAAAATTAGAGCAAAGTTAGGCCTAAAGCCATTACAGATGGAAAATAAAGAAACTACTAAAAGCAGAGATGATGGATTGGAAGTTATTGCTGGCGATGAAGGCGAATTTGTTCATAAACCTGCATGTAATAAACAATTTGAATTTAAGAAGTATTTATTTTTGTACTAACTATTGATTTTTCTATTTAATTAGTAAGCTTAACAGAAAAAAATAAAAGCGATAAAATAAAAGCAAGAATAGCTGAGAAAAAAGAAAAACGAATGATTGAAAACAAAATATTAAATGTTAAAAAGTTAGCGGACAGTGACACAGAAGAAGACGCTGTTAGTTGGGTGAAAAAAACAAAAACTATTCAAGATGAAATGGAAAAAGCAAAGAAAAAGGTGATTAATTACATTTTTTTTTTAATATTAGATATTTTATTACTATATTTTTTGGACTGATTTTTCAGCAATGTTTTTGTTTTGTCAAAAGGCCCAAGAATTGGAAGAAATGGACAATGTATTTGGTGTTGGCGATCTGATAGAAGAAAGCACAAAAAGTGAAATGAAGAATTTCTATTCAAGTAAACATTTGAAGGGATTAGAAGTCCAACACTCAATGGTATGTAACACAAATAATCAAAACTTTTGTATTTTATGTTTATTTATTTATGTTTATTATTGTTTAGGATGAATTTATTGAAGGAAAAGAAGTTATTTTGACATTACAAGATAAAGATGTATTAGCAGAAGATGCAGATGTTTTGGTCAATGTTAATATGGTTGACAATGAATCATATAAACAAGTAATATTACAATTTGTAGTAGATGTTATACACAACTATTATAAAAATAATTACTTATTATATATATTTCCTGTTTATTATGCAGAATATTGATAGACGAAAGCAACGTCTAAATTATAGTGGTTATGATGAGTTAGAAGACATGGATATTGACAGTCCAAGTGTGGTCCTTGGAAAATATGACGAAGAAATTGAGGGGTTGAAAAAAAAAAGTTTTAAACTTGGTATATTATCCAATTTATAATATAAAAATTATTAGTTTATTAAAATTAGTGATGTTATTTTTAGAATGAATCAAACTTGGACTAAACTTTTTAAAAATTTTTATCGTATAATTTCAAATTATATATTGAACTCAAACTAAACTTTAAAAGAATTCTATAATCTTAAGATGAATGATGATATATTATTTTGATAAAATTGTAATGAAAAATATGAATAATATTTACCCTAAGTCCCTAACAATAGTTATATTTTACTATTTTTTTTGTTCTTCACTAAATTTAGTACACATATTGATACATAAAACTACTAAAAGACTGTATTCCCTAAACAGCCAATCTAGTAGTTTTATATATACATGAGTACACATTTTGATTTCATTAGTTTAATTTTTAAACTTAATTTTAAAGTATTTGGTTGGGTTAGAATACATGCAATTTTCAGTTTGTTTTCCAATTTCGACAAAACTGCCCAAGTTTAGTTAAGTTTGGTTAAAAATTAAACTGCTTATAACATTACTACTAAAAATAATTGTTTATTATCAATATTGTAAAAAATTGATTTTAGGTGTTGATGAGTACAAAGTGAAACGAGATTCTATAAAGGAAAAATTAAAAAAAAAGTTAAATCAGGAAACTTTAAATACGACTCAATTGAAATTAGCTTCTGATTATTATAACGATAGTGAAATGAGTGTTAAATTTAAAAAGGTCAAGGTAATTTATTTTAATAATTTAATTAAATAGTAAATTTTTTAACTCAATTTTTTTATTAGAAAAAAAAATTAAGAGTGAACCCATTAAAAGCAGATAAATTAGAAAGATCTTTACGGCTTGCAAATAATAATGCCAAAGAAAATGATGATCTTGATGATATTGATGATATATTAAATGGTACGTTTAATTTGTATATGAATTATTTTTATTGAATGTATGGACATGGGGGTAGATTTATTAATCTTAGCTTTTATCAAATTGTTAAAACCTTATTTACAAGAAACCTAAACTTGCTTTTTAATAATTAATTTGATTTTATGTTTTTTATTTGATGTGACCATTTTGGTCATACAATCATTTTGATTCTATTAACATTTTATTAAATATTTTCTGTTCGTGGGCTTCACTTTAAGTAAACCCAATTTTGTCTGGGTACCCTTCATTGGGATAAACCTAGGTACCCAATGAAGATAGTAGTTTATAGTTATCTAAGCAGTTAGCTGTGTTTTTTAATGTTTGTTTGTACTAATAATTTAGTTTTTTGAAGCATGTTTTTAGTGTAAATGAGTTATTAAAAGCTAATTATTACCTACTAGTCATCATTGGTGTAATCTGGGTTGCTTAAAAAAATGCCACGCCCACATGTGTTGTATCGGTCTTACAAACGTACAAACTAGGAATAATTGTGTTGCACGGGATAGAACTCGGGCTGTAGTCCAAGCTAAGCAACCAAATTTTTATAATTTTAAGATTAAAACATTTACTGTGAAATATCATTTTTATTTATATCAACATACTGCAGCATTAGCGGTAAAATTCTAAAGTCTTGGCGGCAGTGGCGATAAATTGTGTTGACTTTTCAACTTAATTTTATTGCAATTGTCGCTGCTACTGTTGCATTGTCTGGGGACCTTAATGCTGCTTATTTGGTCACTTTTTTCTTGGATAGGTGACCACCTAAAAATATTATTACAACCTACTATGCTTTTATAACTTTTTAATTCTGAGTCTTAATTAAAATAATAATCAAGGCAAAAATAGACAAATTCTAAAATCTCGTAAAACTGTATTTTTATTATTAAGTAGACAAGCCAACTGATGTCTATAGTATGAAGATGGAAAATGAAGAAGATGATGATATGGGATTGCAATTGGCATTAAAAAAAGCAAGAAAATTAAAGCAGTTAGAAAAAATTGAAAGAAAAAATGAATTGGCTGATACATTGGTTGTAAGTATTTTGTTAATACATATTATAATATAATATATATAGTATCTGTATAGTTTATACTATAGTTAATCACTATATACATTCAGTATTTAAATTATTTGATATCTCATTAAATTTTTTTTAGAAAACTGAATATAATGATAATGCACTAGGCGCAATTGTGTTAAACTCTACTGCTGAGTTTTGTAGAACTCTTGGAGATATACCAACTTATGGTAAAGCTGGGAATAGAGAAGAAGAAGAAGATGATTCATTAATGGTAGTTTGTAACATTAATATACATAATTAGACTAAATTAATTTAGAAAAATGTAAATAAATTATATTTGTTTTAGGACTATGATAAAAATACTTTAAAACAAGAACATGCAGTTGACTCTGATGAATCTAATGATGGATGGAGAGAAGTAGAAATGGGTATGTCATGTTTTTATTTGTTAAAAGTGTCTTTTTTACATTTAATTTATTAATTTCAGAGAAAAAATTAATAGATCTTAAAACAATTGATAGCAAGCCGATTTTAGAACCAGAACCTGACTTGGGTAAAGGTGTAGCTGGTGCATTAAGATTGGCTATGAGTAAAGGGTATATCGAAAAAGAAGAAAATGCCCGGCCTTCTGCTTCGAGATTTGCTCACTTACAAGCTAAAAATTATTCTATTGAAGATAAAACGTTTTTGTGAGCTATTGTTTAATATTATATTGATGATTTTATCATATATTAAATAAAATAAAATACATGATTATGTGTTATTATTACATTTGTAAGTAAGCTATTTGTTAATTTTAAATTCAATTTATTGTTTGTGAATTTAGAGCTGAAGATGATAAATTAAGTAGAAGAGACCGATACAGTGGCCCTACAGTAGAATTTAGAGAAAAGGACAGCTATAAACCAAATATAAAACTGGATTACATTGACGATGATGGTCATTTATTAAGTGAAAAGGAAGCATTTAGGTTTGTAAAAATTGTAGTATTTAAAATGAGTAGAAATTAATACAGATGAAATTTTTTTTAGGTATTTGTCACATAAATTCCACGGCAAGGGTCCTGGCAAAAATAAAATAGAGAAACGTATAAAAAAAGCTGAACAAGAAGCTGTAATTAATTAATTATTATTTATTATAATAAACTTAATTTTAATTCATGGATTTCAATAATTTATAAATAATTTATTTATATTTTAGCTAATGAAGCAAATGAGTTCAACAGATACACCTCTTGGTACATTGAATATGTTGCAATCGAAGCAAAAAGAAACTCAATCTCCTTACATAGTCTTGAGTGGAACTAAATCAACTCATCAAAACCATGGGTAAAATTCAATTTCTTTTTTTGATGTACAATTGTACTTCATACATTTATTATGTCTACAGGGGTTCAATTTCAAAAACAAAAATCGGCTGAGATAAACAATCATTTTCAAATATTTAACATTTTATTGGTAATGTAACAACGGACAATTACTGATTTTATAATTTGATACTGTAAAATTACAAAACTTATTAGATAGAAATTAAATTATACACCATTTAGATGTTATCTTATAACTCCTATGTCTTATAACATTAGCAATTGAAATATATTTTATAGACAGTATTACAATTTACACTTAACAATATTAAAATATATTGATGTTTTTGGATTTGGAATACTTGACATAATATTGTTGTTGGTTAGTAGACAACTTGTTTATTTATGGGTCAGTCAAAGGTATGTCATTTTGGTCGATTTGCGATGAGTCTGTCGTCGATGGTGTGATTGTTGTTTTTTTCTTTTCATATGTATCCATTCCTTGTGCATATGGTGGTTTACTGTTAGTCATAAAATAGTAAATTCCTTTTTGGCTGTAAAACAAAATCAACATTCATTAAATAACAAGTATATAATAAAATAGCTGATAGAAGTGTAAGTCACCCAGGTATTCACTCACGTTCTGTTCACATGTTCGCCCATTACTATTAATGGTGACGTTTCAGATGTTTTGCAAAATTTCAATTTGTACATTATGTAGCTTATACACTTGACGGCCAAAAATTGAGTTTTGCTACTTATTGATTCGGCGAAATATTCAACAGCTCGCACGTGGCTGCACGACGTATCTGTGGACAGTTCCCCCGAAATCAATTAGTGCTCAAAAATAGCAACAACAAATCCATGGTATGATACATAAATAATTTAATCATACAATGTGCACGGACTACCGAATTATTATAATGTGCATTGTGTGCACTACCGGTGTCAAATAAAAAGGTATAAATACTTGTGCCGCAGCCAGGTTGTGCGATGCCGTTGTTGGCGTAAAAGTCCACGTGACCTAGCGGCGCCATTTTTCCTTTGAAGCCTATGTTGGTGTGCACTACGTCTACGTACAGCGCGTCTGATTTATCTAACACTTCGTTGCTGAGCAAGAAAGTGTCGAACAGCGGGGACGCTGGGTCTAGACCTGTAATGGACGAAATGGTAAGTTAATGGCGAGGTTACTTGATCGTTACCATGGTGCACCTACCATAAGGAGCATTATCAATTCGACTGGCTAGGCCATACCTAAGTGATTAATGATTCAACCCTCTTCTCCCAATCCATAATTTCTCAGATTCCGTAACATACATTTTACTATCAGTTTTATTTTTAATTTGGTACCCACCTCTATACAATGTGCATATTATTTTGAACGATTTTGTGTATTGGTCCATATTTTATAATTTTAACTCTGTATTTATCATATTTTTAGTGCGTATAAAAGTATAACTCTGGCCTCTAAGAGAAATTAGTAATATTGTTAAACCTTCAGTTTTGAAAATGTTGATATATTTAAATCAAAATTTTAACGAATTGTTTCTGAGTCGTAAATATTTTAAATGTATTTATGTGTAAGATAATAAGGAATAAGAACCCTCACCAGCTAAACTAAATAAACAATAATATAATTTTAGAACAAAATATTATTAGTATGGTCTATCATGGTCAAAGAATAATATACCTAATTCGTAGTTACTAGGTAGGTACATACCCGTGATCCGCTGTATAGTGCTGTTCATCAACCGCCCAACGTGGCCGGCCACTTGAGCGCCCAAGCTAAATCCGACCACGTGCAAGTCACGCAGATACAGGTCCGGCCGCAGTCTGAACAGTCTCAACAGTAACATCTTTGTGCATTTGCCCACCAGCGGAACGTTGTGCACTGCTTGCACATAACACGGCGGTTGCACCAGCTCCTTGTAGTCCACAGATATCACGTTCAGGTTTTGGTATTCAAGGTAAGCTGGTGGACGCAACAACCGACAGGCGGGTATTAGAGCCATTGGGGTATATGGGATTTAATTTCGAGAGGGTGGCTTATTTTTCGCTATCAAACTAGTTAAGGGGCGGGGAGACTCCTAACATAATGCCTTAGTTAGGCCTATAGATTATAGATATAAGTGACATTTTTACTGTACGGCAATGGTAATTATAATATTATAGCAACATAAGGATTATGGCCTTATAAAATGTCTTGACGCTTCGATAGCAGCTCATGTTCTCGAGTTCTCTATGTATTAATAGTTATTGCTTATTAATAATATGTTATCACTTATTACCTATATTATTATATTGTATATACTTTCATTGGACTCCTAACCCTTCCTATATTCACCACTACCACCTACCATCTAGTATTTGATATAAATATATTATAATAGGAAAAACTTATCGATACGTTCATATGTCGTATATTAATCCGTTTTGAACAGTAACCATTATCGGACCGCTGTTTGCGCTGTAGCGGGTGAATAACATTTTACCACTCGTTAGGTATAGCGGGTGGACAATTTTTTTTCCCAGGAAATGTAGTAGATAGTTCCCAGGACTAAAATAAATAAATAAAATACAATAAATATGTAGTGCCCTGGTACCCTATGGTTTTGGGGGACGGAGGATAGCGATTTTTATAATTTAAATGGGGGGAGTGAGAGGAGGATGAAATTCCAACTGAGGGATAACATGCCCCAAAGCTACCGTAAATTCACTAATAAATTTAGGTTCCTATCCTGCAGCGGCCCCGTTTCGAATATTAAACAGTTAACGGTTAGCACACCTGATTCTGCGCATATGATTAACCTATTCGTCTATCTAGTATCTACAGTCTTCGTAATTAATGTTTTACCTCATGCCACATTCTTCCTACGCGATACCAACGCGATTTATTATACAACGAAAACCAAGGTCGTTGATACCTAATTAGTTGTAAGCGCAACAACAATTATTTCTTGAATAATTGGTAGGATTTTCGATAGGACCACTCCCCCCTCTAGATCTCCGATGTACCCCTCGCCCACCAAGGGTGACTTCCAACTACACTATTACAAATAGCTCACAAACTATATTGTCCGTTTGTATCTTATAATAGAGTGAGCTTATCTTTTGTTTTTTAAATTAAAAATAATTCAACAATCATATTATTATCTATGCTATACCATAAAGGCATAAACGATGTTTATGCAAAGTACTTAGTACATTAAATGTTTTGAGCATACAACTGACCGTAGGTGAACATTCCTGATTCGTCCACTCAGATACTACTGATGGCATGATAAATATGTCACTGCATGGCCCACCATTGTCGTTTCGGACCGAGGGGTGGTCGGAGCTGGGTATAAAGAGCGTTGTTTGCGTCAGTGGAAAGTGCGGGACGGGGATGCTCAAACACCGAAATGTTTTGGTCGAAGGCTCGAGGCACAAGTTACTTCTCTTGTGGGACCACAACGGGGGTAGGTATGTTGATATGAGTTTTTTTTTTTAGTAATTCGTGGTTTCATCATACTAAATTCTTATTATTATATTGTATGAAAAGTCCTTAATAAAAACATTTAATCACTGTTAGACGATGTAGCGTATGATTTAAGAATTAAATTGAATGACATTCGAGAGCTGAATACACATACAAATGGCTACCTCATGTAATTTTAAAATATAATGATTAATCTAAAATAGACGTTTAACATTTCATTATTAGATAGTGTGGTATTATCATATTATATGCGAAGCACGAAATCATCATTGTGTCTGTATGTGGACTATAATTTGAAATTTCGCTTTAATTTAAAGAAAGTTATTTTGTGTTTTAAACTTTGCTGATGTAGTAAAATACAGAATTATAATATTAATAATAATAATAATAATAAATAGTTAATTTTAGAAAAACTTAATCTAAATAATGTCAAGTACATATCTAGATAGATCAAACAAAGCGGTCTTATTCCCAAAGGTGTTGTTTGCAAGCGTAATCAGGTGACATAACTCCCACTAACATGATTTGTTTAATAAAGGCCTTTAATTCGTCCTATCTGTTGTATCTATGTGTATTTATAAATATTTATTAAAAGTGCTCAAATAAAATAATAGGAATTAATTTTAATATTGGGTAATACCACACTTTCTGAACAAAAGATTATTGAAACAAAATGTCACACACTGCATAATATAGGTATCTAAGTATATAACATAAACTATAAACAAATACCAAAAACTGAATTAACATTAATATTAATAATTTGTTATTAATTAAACATTTATAACTAGTATTAAATTTATTTATTTTACAAACCTCTGTTAAAATATAAAAATATAAAAATATTGTTAAATACGTACCTAAATTTAACATGAAGTACATAAATTAATAAGGAATTAGTTAATTTCGTTGTCATTATTGTCAAGTTTCATAATATGAAATTATGTAGGTGTGAATATTGAATGCTTGAAAATATCCATGCACCACAAAGTGTATATAGTTTCATGTGTTTGTAATATTATGCAAATTATCAGACTTTGAAGCAACTACATTGATGAACATATCAGGATCAAAAGGTTGTGTAGGTAAAATAATAATTAAAAAGTGGCCAAGGAAGTAACTACTCTGCTGTACAGTAGATGTAGAGTGTACCCCGTCATTGAATAAGTCAGTGTAATAGATTTGTTCAGTTTGAATTCAATGAATTTATTGTCGCATACGAATAGGTAACGATTCTGAGCGGAGACGACTCATGTATATACTTTATATAATATCTATTAGGTTTAATATATATATATTTATTTTTAATTATATTATTATTATAAAATATAAATACTATGTAAAAACAAATTGTTGAATTATTTTTGCGGATTATAATTTCAAAATAATAGGGTAAATTAGTTATTAATTGGGTAATAATCAGAACGGTATTGGTAAACAATAAATAATTACTCAAATTATTTAAATATACAACTAAATAAAAAGTATTACATTTTTAGAAATAAGAGAAAAATTGTTTTCCAAATCCATAGATTAAAGAAAAAAACATTTTCACTAAAATATCGTGTTGAGCTTCCAGTCACCAAAAAATTAGCTTTTCTTAATTGCATACTGACTTATAAATATAATTGTTAAAATATCAATTATTTGATATTACAATTATTTCAATTTGATATTACGATATTCATCGTATATTAATTTATTGTTAAAATTAATGTAATTATTTTCCATTGACCATTGTTAGTAAATTTATTCGAGACAGTTATTTAATAGAAGTAAGTATCCTTACTTTATTGTTTTTAAATTGAATTGACAACATGCAGTATTTTCCGTATAATACCTTCGGTTTACGATGAACGTTGTTATTCTATTAAATAGTCATTGTTTTTACAGACTATTATTTTTAAATTTGGGATTTAAAATAATAATTATTAGAATATTATATATTTATATTCACCATTGACTACCTATCTGATATACGCTAGTATGTCTTCGGATCTAGTCGTGGCTCGCAATTATTATAACCTATACATGTTAGGTTTTAACAGTGAAAGTGGTGAAAAACTGAAGTATAAAATTTATGTTTAAACACTAAAGTATCCTACTGTATCCTGGTTATAACTGCGTTATTATTCATTATTATGAGATTGATTATAATTTATAAATATTAGAATTATCGGTATTGTATAACTGATGGTATTGGGTACATATTTAGGTATTATATTTTTTTAATAGGCGACATTTTTTGTCTAACGTTGTAAGGTTTTCACCGAAATCTCGTTACTCGTTTAATTTGCTTTTGTTGACAGCGTTGTACTAAAACACTATACCCGTTGTGTTGTGGTACAATAATAATGTATCATAATTATGATGATAATGTGCGTGGCTTTAAAACGACGTGTCAAGTGACTTAGTGAATTCTTGGTAAATACATAGTATACCGAAACTTAAACACTAGCTTAAAATACAAAGTTGAGCAAGTTGATAAAATTTGTTATTATGTGAAGTTATAACGAATTTGTGTAAATTGAACTAGAGTTGAAATTAAAATGCTATTAATATTGTGTAAACGAAAATTTTAGTTGTCTGTACTAGAAAATGCATACTGAAGAATAGTATTTTATTCATATTGCGTACCTACCTATTTACTAAATAAGTTTAAAAGACATTGTGTTATAATATAAATAATGTAATAGCATACCTTTCATACAAGGTGATTAAACTAAAATGTATTATAATTATGTACCTATATAAATATTGTAAATATGCTGTCAATATTATGTGACGTTGATGTGCCTAGTAGGATAGTAGTTATACATAAATTATAAAAACGTTATTTTTTAAACAGGTCAATGTTTTTGGGTGAAATACCGCTTGTATCCGAGTTCAGGTAAATATATAAAAAGGCAGACAGAATTACAATTACATCAATATTACATAAATATTAACAATAGGGCGATAAAAATTAAAAAAATCATTATTGTGCAACTTTAGAAAATTAATTTAATCCAATAATTATTATTTATTTCTTTATATTTTTATGATATATTTTATAAATTTTAAAATATGTACGTTTTTTTATATTTTAAATACCGTATCATTTGTTGGTCAATAAATAATGTTTATTTAAATATTAAATTGTAGTGTAACTTGTATTTTTTATTTTTATTTTTAGGTAATTGCCAATTGCATTACCTATATATTTATTTTATTTTTACTACATAATAAATGATCTAATAAATTTGGTGTATACCATATATATATATATGTGTGTGTATGTAGATATATCTAATATTTATTTTTATTTACTTATTTTAAACACTGCAGTTTAGGCATAGCTGATAGTATATTGATGTATGAAAAATTAAATTCAAGGAGAACTATCCAAGCGTCGGTGCATAATAGTTATCTCAGGCTAAACCAGAAACTGGAGTCTACGCAAGCCTATATGTGTGTATAGGTATTTGGAAAAAATAATCCCTTAGGTACTAACCACTAGGAGAAAATATTCCAGTGATAAATCAATTCATTTTTAATCGATAATTTTAATAATAAAAGTATATATACAGGTATAGTTATTTCTTACTATGCATACATATAGGAATTAGGAGTAAGTATTTATTTTTTTTGTATGTAGGTAATACGATTTGAGATGATATAATTGTTACGATTTCATTCAATCATAATTTATTAAAATAATAAATTTATCATATCGAACAACTTTAGTTAATTTGATACAAAATATTGTTCTGTATACTAAAATTTTTTTTTATAATAACCTATTATGTTGGTATTATTATTCATTAATATTTAGTTTTGAACCCTCTATGATGCTTTTGCAACTTGTGTCTAATAGTTATATTTAAATTGTATTAATATTTTTGTTGATCTTTACTTACAATTCAATAATTACCAACTATTAAATTGGGTCGTCGGTACATGATATTATAATGGATTAATTTTTATCCTGGGGATATTTTTTCGCATTTTTACAGCATGTTGTTATATTATAAGTAGGTATACACTGACTGACATACAAATGTGCAGGCCGTCTGCTGTGTATAAATGAATAGTAATTTTATAGTTTTAGTGTTACAGTTACCTGGTCTGAGTTCGGTGTTTGGCGAATAGTCTTTGTGACCCGTGTAACCGTGTATGAGCAGCTTGATGGGTGCGTGCGGCACAAAAGGAGCTTCCAACAAGGTCTCTTGCTTCGCGAAGTCTAGAATATAGTCGTCCGTGTACCTATGAGTAAATATTCTATGTTTATATATATCATGTGTTGTATATGTACAACGAGAGCAAGAGGAAAAAAAACATGTCTAAATAAGAGACTAGTATAATAATTATTTTTTCGTTTTGTTTTACTATTTTGCTACGGAGCCCTTAGGACACAAACGTACGTATACAGAAACACACACCCACACACACTTAGGTAGGTACGCGATTATTATGAATACAATAATTATTCCGTCTTTTTCGCCGTCGCTGCCGCCGCTTGTTGTCTAATTAAAATCGTCAACGGTCTACGGGGTGTATTTATATATATATATATATATCGCATAATACAAGCACGATGCACACAAACATGCACATAATAACATATATATATATATATGATCTACGGGTATTTTAATTATCCACGAGGCTTTTGCGCGCCCACCGGGCTCCTGTCCTTCTATATAGGTAATTTCTCCTCTGGCCTTTACTACAATAATAATATGTGGCCGGTGGACTGTTTAAGGTTACAATGTTGTATTTTCATCGCGTGTATAATAATATAGTGTACACAGCTGCAAAATGTTTGTACACAATAATTATTATAATACCCATAAACATCGGTGAAAATATACAAAGTTTGTACTTACCTATGTATTATACAATAATATAAAAATAATACATATTAACCGTGTACTTATATTATGAATAATTATTGTTAGAGTGTGACGATTTTTTTGGAACCGTCAATCAGCTGCTATGGAATGATGTTTTGGGTGATGACCGAACGCAAATACGTCACATGTCAGTCGTTTATTAAAACTCTAATTTTTTTCAATCAGAATCTTATCCACACTTTGGCGTTTCCTCGTGCAAGGTGCACCTTTCGTGGTTGATAAGAAAGTCCAAAATTATTTCTTATGTAATCTTTCTCAGACTATCCCAATTTCATAATACTGCAATTAATTTTTGTTAGGGGATGACGATTTCTTTGGACTCGTCGAACACCTACAACGAAGTGTTGTCTTAAACGCAAATATATAATGTTCTTGTGCCAGTCGTGTACTTAAACTCTGACCGGTATACCGTACACCACTGACATAATATGTCGTCGGATTTTTTTTTCATCAGCGTCTTCGGATTTTTCCCGTGTGACGTATGCACATACTATTACCATGGTTGATACGCAAGTCTAAAATTATTTCTTATGTACGCGTGGAAATCCTCATCACCGTCAGTTTTCTAGTTCCATAATAATATGTACAACGTACACGCATAATACGTATACATATATACATCGTATTATACAGAATATATATGCATACACGGCACTATGGCAGTACAATACGTCTCGGTTGACAAGTCTCGCTCGTTAGCTACCACGTCCCCCCCGCCGTTACCATCTGAAGTATGTGTAAGCAATGTTCAACGGATCGTGATTTACCCGCCCGGGAACGCTTCAAATGCTCAAGATATATAATATGTATAGGTATGTATGTATTATATATATATATATATATATATATATATATATATTTGTGTTTAAGACGCGTGTATGTATGGCGCGTACGTTTCTAGCTATAATAATATTATGAAGGTAGACACACCTATAAATAATGCCTTAGTGCCAACTTTAAAATGTTACCTCACAGTTATTATACATCGATTGTCCAACACATGAAGCTTTGAAATTTTAAGATCGATATTCCGTCGACCGCAGAAATAAATCTCACTTCCACCCTTGGACTGCCTCTAATAGATTATTAATTGACAAATTATTGTTGGTACTCTCCGGGGAGTAAACTTAGGTCGATTGGCAACTTTATAATATCGTGTAATATTGATTTATTTATTACTGATCTAGTGATCTATCACCGATAGACGATAGTTAACTGCTTCTTTATATAATGTTTCATTATAAATTAATTAAACTCGATTATATGGTAACCATCTATCTCTTAATCTATTTCTTACTGTTTTTTTTTGTTAAATGACTATATGTTATATGTGTATTACCCGCCTATATTATCTTATTTTGTGATATTTTTTAATTATTGATGTTGATTTACTTTGCCATGATTTAGGTACCTAAATATTTATTTCTACTTGTTCACATTAAAACTGTCACTTTATAAATAATTATTGTAAATTGGAATATTTTCAATAATATAGATTATTATTATAATTGTATAAACCGGTGGCCTTATAAAATTGCAACTTTTCGGATGTAAATCATTATTAAAACGCTAAGTACCTATAATTATGGCACACGAGTTTCATAAGTTTGGAAAACGTTCGAGTACGCTTCCCATAATATTATTCCAAATAGATTTCGGATTTTATAACAGCATTGTGGTTAGGTAATCTACGTCTCTATATTTGAAATTTACAACCAATCTAGTATAAAATATTCTAATATGAGCACTATCCGAGTAACGAAACATATCCATATCGAAATCCTTATAAATATGACAAACCCAAAACCATGTTGGTTATTTTATGCGGGGTACCTTTATCCAACATATAATAATGTGCTCGGTGCAGTAATGAATTATTACGGTTACATAACCGATCTGGTTATTGGTACGCGGGGTGGTAGGTATAGGTACATCTGTTGTATAGTACAATATTATTCCACCTAAATTGGTCGTATATATTTTAACTAGTTATCCATTTTCATAAGTTTAGATTTCGTCTTAAGTTATAAGAGACAATATTAATCCCCTTGTTTCCGAGTCGTATCTACTAAAACAACTAAATACAATTTATTGTCTAGTGTGAATATGGGAAAACTATGAAAAATGGTCCTCTTTTTAGATGCCACGTACAAGAATCGAAAGAACACTTATGATCCGGACTTTCTAAGCTTGAAACATAGATAGCTTTCCCCAAGTGAAAACTTGTGAAGATCACAAAAAATAAATACAGAATTATTTGAAAAGTGAAAAATCAAAATGTGGTATATGCGGTTACTAGTTATAATTACATAAATATAATTCTAAGGATATTACATTTTTTTAAATATGGCGTATACTTATTTATTTTTAACTGTATGCCATACAATATATATTTTTTTTATCAATTTGTATTAATGTATCAAAGTCATTTTCAGAAAAAATATGGATTGATGTACAACAACTTTCGGTGAGCTTGAATTTTTAAACATCAAAACATTTTGAATTATTTACTTAATTAATTGTGTATCCTCATGTTAAAATGATGTGTTTGAATTTTAGTAAAAGAAAACATTTTATATACCAACTTATCAGAGTAAGACTTTATACGTAATATTTCAATATTATGTATTTGCAATGTAAAATCAATATTTTTAATATTAAAATTCAAGTTACCTGCATTTTTTTATTGAACGTATTACCTAGTCAAAGTACCTATATTAGTTTGAACAGTGCATGTGTATCGTTTAAAATATTTTAAGTGGCCCCATTGTAAGAGAAAATAAATTATTTGTAGTGGGTATAAAACAGTTTTATTTACTTATCGACAAAAGTTGATATTAACACTCCACACACGTAATATAAAATAAGTAAATTTAAGAACAGAGAAGAATACAAAGTACAAACGCAACGAGACAAGACGTGTGAGTATACAGAATCGTCCAATACCTCCAGATTAATATTTCAAGATTATGGTATAATAGGTTATTGTATTATTTGCACATCCTGCCATATGATCGATTTCAGATGTGCTAAGTGCGGATGTTTAGGAGTTGGGGGACTGAGGATGAAAATATCGTAGGTATTTGTTTGAACATTATTATATTCATATTTTAGAAATTTGTAAATAGTTCGAAAGTGATTTGGGGATTTTCATTTGATTTTGGTAGATAACAAAATATTGAGTTCTTGCCATATATTTCTAGATTTCCGTTTACCTAATTTTAAATTATTTTCTGGAAATCAAAAAGTTTAAATTCCTAAAGTCTTATAATAATTACATATATCGAATATATTATTGAAGTTGATTGCTTGTAATTAAAATGCTTACTTCCTTTTGTGTATCCATATACCTATCCTATAAAATATACTATTTAAATGTTATATAATTTATGATAAATTTAGCTTGCATGAAAAACACCTAAAACGGTTAATAGTAGATACACAATGATCATTTAATTGGGATTTAAATTTCATTATAGCATAAACTTGTAGAATTAATTTAATAACTAAGGCCATTGTAATCATTATTATAAACAATAACACAACTTAAATTGACAGGTCACCCGGGAGATTATAAAGAGGGTTTGAGAGGGATAAAAGAAAATATTCTCTTTAGTCCAAGAACGAAACTAACACCTTTAATTTCTATTGATAAATTATTATGTAAGCATAAACGTATATTTATAAATACTTATAGATGCCGGTCTTACAACAGTTAGAAAATAGTATTTATACCTACATAACTTAAATTTACTTAAATTATTATTGTATTATTTGTATTATAACATTAGTACTCAGAATTATTTTTATTACTGTACTGATTTAGCTGTTATAATTTTATTGACACTCCGAGTTAATTTAATTTGTTATACACAATATATAACTATCAAAATAAATAATAAACGTTGTTAATAAATAATAATATATTATGAAAAAAAAAAAAATAGAAATAGTTTTTCTATAGCAGAAAAGAATAATATTATAATGATCATTTTTCCTTTTTTTCCTTCTATTATATTTTAATATTATTAATAATTAGTACCGTACTTCTTGTTTTTTAAAATATTAGTTGTAGTAGTAGTATAGACTATTATATATATAGAGTTTTAATTTAATTTTCTAAAAAATATAACTTATTTTTTTATAAATTATTGTAATTTATCAAAATAAATATTTTATATGTTTAATATTATTGTGTAGGTATATTATTAAATGTGAAATAATATAATATCACATTGTACATCATGGAAATTCGGTATAATTACTTAATAATTAAATACTTCAGAGAATATAATATTATTAAATTAGAGCAGTGTTATACTATTCGTGTTGAGTCACTATCCGGTTTTA